TGCCTTAATCCTTCCATGCAGAGCCTCAGCATTTCATATGGTAAACACGCCAGAAAAGGACTCTGGGGGAGAAAAACATGTATCAGTTGTTCAAAAAGAGAGACTTCCTAATACTATCTGGGCTTACTGAGGTCAAATGAGACGACTGCTCCTGTTTTACACGAAACACCAAATCCAAAGTACTAATCCTAACAAAGAACAGGCCGGTTCTGATTGTTTACTTTCCTATCTACAGCTATGCTGTTATGAAACAAATAATATAAACAGACCGTGTGAACTAATTTTACACATGCCAAACATCGATTGCATCTTACTCATTATCTCAGATAAACAACACAAAATGTAAATTAGTGATCTGAATTAAAGGTTCCAAGTCTTAACTACCCAATTTTCCAAGACAATTAGAAAAAGAAAAAAAATCAAACACTCTAAGCGTTATTTTTCATATTCCTAAAACTATATAATAAGGTCTTTGTATAAATAAGTCACTTCATACTCTGGTTTCTCTTCAGATCTTATAAATCTTTCGCCTTTTACTAAATAAGTCACTTTAAACACATATACAATACAAACTAATGAACTGAATTAGAAATTCTTAAAAATTTATACACTTAAGCAATACAAGCATGCATAAATTTCTGTAAGAGTGAAAAATCTTGCTAGCAAAAATAATTTATGACTGTATCATGTTAACTCATAGTGTAAAGTACTGGATTTACAAGAACAAGTGTAGTAAAAATGAACACTGAGGTCACTTTATGTTAAGTAAGATTATGATCCTTCAAAGGACATTAAATCCTTGCTTTTCAGAAACATTTTTGGGTTTTGGCTTTGTAATAAATATGCAATAGATATCTGCAGTACATTGTATATGTTGAGAGCTTATCTCTCCATTTGAAAGTCTTTCTCTGGAGTCATAATGTCTTAGAGGTATCCCGGTGGGCGGGGAGTTGGGATTTTGCAGCAAGTCCATTAACAAAGCAATCTTATCATCTATGTGCTCCTGGAGTTTACATATTCGCTGATCAATGTACTCTGTAAGTTTCTTTTCCAGCAGTTCCATGTTTTTAGAAAGAATCTTTTCCAGGTAGGAGCAAACAGATTGTTCTTCCATTCCAACACCAAGAATGCCTTCACTGGGCTTGGTGATGTTTTCCTGCCACTCAGCCTTATGTCCCACATGGAGATGATTAACTTGACTACACAAATTCTGGAGAAAAGGCAGCAACTCAGAGTTAGGTATATTTGCGTTGTCAATTGTTTTCTTTGGTAAGAAAGAGGATACTACATTTTTAAGATCTTTTTCAAGAAGGGAATGATTTTGTGGCATAATTTTACACTCGCTAAGGTTTGCAGTATTCCCCTGACCAGGAAGCTGTGTACTTTTGTCGATGTAAGCTTTTAAGTTTTCTGTCACATTTCCAGACATCAATCCAGTTCTAAAAGGAAAAAGTGTGGAGGATGACTTGTCTAAGGCTCCTAAGGTAGATGATGAGTGCAGTCCAATCACATGCTTGTATCCAGGATTTCCCAAAACCGACTGAAGCTGTTCTCCAACGGGAATGCAATTCTGCTGCTGGAATCTAACCATATTCATCAGTTGCTGAGCTCCAGGTGATAACTTTGATCCCATGGATTCCATTATGCTTTGGACCTTGTCAAGGTCTATCCTTGATCCTAGAGCAGGAGAGCTTTTTGACGAATTTGCCAAAACCGATCTCATGTGTACCACAACTTTACTGATGAATACACACTGCTTTTCACCAAAGGACAGCAACTTTATTTGACAAGCATGTGTGAGATTCCAATTTTAGATATTTTTTGTACAAAATAATCTTTTCATGTTCACTGTCATCCAGGACAGTACCAACATTCTTGCCCCGACTGGTTCCACAGTACTCCTCTCCTAAGTATACTTCCATATTTCTTGCAGAACTGAGAATGCCAACAGAAACGATTTCTTCACCTCCGTTAGGGTCACACCTCAGGTAGAGGAAGCAGGGGCTTTCATCTTGGCTGTTCAGGCTTCTCTTCAAAATCACCAGATCCTGCCCCGAAGCAGGCGGCGCCAGCAGCTCTTCGCAGTCGAAGTCGTGGGCGCCGAGACCAGCCTGGCTGAGAAGGAGACTCTGGGTCAGGGCCCCGCGTGCGGCATCCCAGGAAGAGGCCAGCGTCGGACGACGTTTTAGTCCTGGGTCCTCAGTCCCAGTCTCCATGCTGCCGTCTCCAGCCAGGCCAGCCCAGCTCCGGAACCTCTTTTCCAGGGCTTGAGTTTCCGCCAGTACAGCGTGGAAGACAGGAAGCACAGCGACTTCAGGCAGGCCCCGCAGCAAATACCCGCCGCTTCTCGCTTTTATGGGGTCAGAAGCAGCTACCGCAGGCACGCATGCGCAAGCCATCTGGCTTCAGAAACGGTGTACAAAATCAGCGGGGCGGAGATCAAGGGTAGATCATGCGCACTGACAGCTCCTCAGTCTACCGATGGAGACTGTGCGCAGGCGCCGTGCGCTGGGCGCGGGCACGAGGGCGGTTTTTCGACGTTGGCCCTAGGGAAATAGCAGGCGGCTTGGACGACCGTTAGCGAGGAGAGTTGGTCCAATGAGGAGCGTCTGTAGTTAGGTAGACGTGGTCTTGTCGCTTCACGCGACTTACGGGACCAACTCGCGACCTCGTTACCTTTGAGTGGACGCCGGGGCCTTTCCCGCCTCTAGTCCATGCAGTGTGTGGCATTTGGAGCGGCGAGCGCGGCGGATGGGCTGTCGATTCGGGTTATTATTTTCACTCTTGATTCACTTTCGCCCCGCCCCACACATTCTCACGTCAGAGGGGAGTTGAGCTGGATGGTGGGGTTTGGGGTTGAACGGCGTGAGTGGGCCCTATGGGGCCGCGTGGGTCTTTGCCAGGAGCCGTTAGGTCCCGCCTGACTGGCCCAATGGCGCGGCGCAGACGGAGTCCACCTGCCCCCTCGGGCCGCAGGAACCTGGGTTGGACGCCCTCGGTAACAGAAATCTAAAGGTGGAGAAAGACCTGAGGCCAAAGGCAGGGACTGCACGGTGAGCTCAGCACTTCTGGCACTGGGAAGAGCGCGGAAACCGGACTTGAAGGATCTTTAAGGTTTGGATGCAGAAAAGTGGGATATGGAACTTTCCAGACGCCTGCGGGATGGGAACGTAGATGTTGTCCTCGCCCCCCATCCGTGAACTAAATATTTTCAATATGCTTCTAGCTCAAGAATTCTGTGATCTTTCCTTCATTGATGTTGCAAAGGTGAATTTCAGCTCTTTCCAAGATATTAGTTCAGGAAACTTCGTGGGTGTGAATGTTGCCTAACAGTTTTTGAGCTGTCTGCATAACCTTTTGATATCAATTAAGTTTCAAATTCTGTGACTGTTTCCTCTACAACGCAAGAACCAGTGATCTTATGAAAAAGGAAAATTGTTCTTGTTCCTTTCAGCAGTTATAACACTTAAAACCCTTGTCTCTGTCTCTCTTTGTCTCTCTCTCTTGTTGAAACAGGCTATAAATGTACTGATACTATTTTCTGTTCGTTGATCATGTGGAAAATTATCCTTCCATTTTTCTTATGAACTGAAAGAAGTTCCCTCAAAGAGAAGAGTTCTCAGTGGTTGGCTGAGTTAAATACAGAAATTCAAAACATATAGGAAAATATTGAGGCCTCTGCCTACAACTCAGAAGTGTTCTCATGAGAACAAAAGCTGAGCTTCAGGGCAGCTTAATTTCGGCTTTATTTCTGCCATCTTTCCTTCATGTCTCTATAAAGGCCATCAAGATTCAAGAATAGTGGTTCTCCCACTTAAGATGCTTCAGAGATAAAGCTTATCAGAAAAAATAAGAGTATGAAGTTTTCTTTGAAAACTTTGAAAAAGTAGTCAAATGTATAACTCTAAAGTTCTAAACACAGTCTTGCAGAGCAGGAAACTAACTTTAATTCCTACACAGGCAATAGTGATTTCTCAGATGTGTTTATAGATCAGGTACATGTTATTCAATAAGATAGTTACAACCTATTTCATCAGATCATATTATGATTTATTTCAATTAATCAGTCCTAATTTATTTTATTTCATGAAACATATAAATTTCTCTTTCCTAATAATGAAAAATAAATTTTAAAAACCTATAATAAGAAAGTAAACTTAAGTATGCAAAGGGGTACACTGGTTTAAAAAAAATCTTTTACAAGGGCACCATACGTAACCTAAACATCTGTACCCCCATAATATGCTGAAATAAAAAAAAAAATCTTTTAGAGAGATTATGAGCGAAGAAGTTTGAAACCATGACAGAGGAATATGCTGAATTAGAACAACTGAGTCTGCCTGTTGTTTTACAATATTATGAGGCCTTGGGAAGTTTTATAAGCTTTGGAAGATTAAAAGCTTTCAAAAGATGGTTTTCTTGGATCTCTTCCATAGAACATATTTCACTGAAGATATTTCTGAAGGATCTCACTTGAACGTAATTTTTTTCTTTTACAATATCTTCAAATATACTATTATTAATAGGTATTTACTGATTACTTGAATATATGAATAGAGGAAACATTCCGCTAAGCACTTTCCGTATATAATCCTATGTAATAGCACCACAATCTTAATGAGGCTGATACTGTTACTAACTGCAAATGAGAAAACTGGGGCTCAGAAAAGTTAATTAACTTGTCCTAAGAGTGAACATAGCAAAAAAGTGATAGTGGAAGGATTTTTTATTTTTTTAGATAGTTTGACTTAGGGCTCCCATTCTTTATTTATTTTTTTAAAATTTCAAAATATTATGGGGGTACAAATGTTTTTGGTTACATGTATCGATTCTCTCATGCTTGAGTCAGGGTCATAAGTGTGCCTATCACCCAGATAGTGTTCCCTGTACCCGTTAGGTAGGTTTTAACCCATTACCTTCTCCCCCTACCCCCCACTTGATTTCCATTGAGTTGGACTCCCCTGTGTGCACATGTGTGCTCATCTGTTAGTTCCAATTTAATAGTGAGTACATGTGTTTGTTTTCCCATTCTTTAGATACCTCATTTAGGATAGTGGTCTGAGTTCCATCCAAATTGTTGCAAAAGGTCTTAATTCATTCTTCTTCATGGCTGCATAGTATTCCATAGTATACATATACCACATTTTGTTAATCCACTCATGAATTGATGAGCACTTGGGTTGATTCCACATCTTTGCAGTTGTGAATTGTGCTGTATTAAACATTTGTGAGCAGGTGTCTTTTTGATAAAATGACTTCTTTTTCTTTGGGTAAATACCTAGTAGTGGGATTACTCGATCAAATGGTAGGTCTACTTTTAGTTCTTTGAGGAATCCCCATAATGTTTTTCATAGAGGTTGTACTAATTTGAAGTCCCACCAACAGTGTGTGAGTATTCCTTTCTCTCTGTATCCATGCCAGCATCTATTGTTTTTGGACTTTTTAATAAAAGCCTTTCTAACTGGGGAGAGGTGGCATCTCATTGTGGTTTTAATTTGCATTTCCCTGATCATTAATGATGTTGAGCATTTTTTCATATGTTCATTGGTCATTTGTCTATCTTCTTTTGATGGCTTCTGTTCATGTCTTTTGCCCACTTTTTAATGGGTTTGTTTGTTTTTTTCGTGGGGATTTGCTTGAGTTTTTTGTAGATTCTGGTTTTTAGCCTTTTATTTGTTGTATAGCTTGTGAATATTTTCTCCCATTCTGTAGACTGTCTATTTGCTCTGCTGATTATTTCCTTAGCTGTGCAGAAACTTTTTAATTTAATCAAATCCTATTTATTTATTTTTGTTGTTGCTGTGATTGCCATTGGGGTGTTGATTATAAATTCTTTGCCTAGGCTGATATCTAGAAGAGTTTTTCCAACATTTTCTTCTAGAGTTCTTATGGTTTCATGCCTTAAGTTTGAGTCTTTTATCTATCTTGAATTAATTTTTGTGAGTGGTGAGAGATATGGATACTGTTTCATTCAACTGCATGTGGCTATCCAATTTTCCCAACACCATTTACTGAATAGGGCTTCTTTTCCCCAGTTTATATTGTTGTCTGCTTTGTCAAAGATCAATTGGCCATATGTAAATGGTTTTATACCTGGGTTCTCTGTTCTGTTCCATTGGTCTATGTCTCTATTTTTAGGCCAATACCATGCTGTTTTGGTTACTATAGCCTTGTGGACTACTTTTTTTTATAGCACCTTCATGTCATTATTTTTGCCTAACTTTCAGTTGATAGTATTTCTATTTGTACAATATTCTTCTGATTATAGAATCATTGTTTTTAGTGTCTTGGATCTTAGGCTAATAGTTCTTATGGTGGGATACTTTATTTTTTCTTTTTTTTTGAGATAGGTTCTCACTGTGCTGCCTAGGCTAGAGTGCAGTGGCATCATCATAGCTCACTGCAACTTCAACCTCATAGGTTCAAGTGATCCTTCTGCCTCAGCCTCCTGAGTATCTGGGACTATAGGAGTAAGCTGCCATGTCCAGCTATTTTTTTTTTTTTTTACTTTTTGTAGAGATGGGGTCTTGCTATTGCCCAGGCTGGTCGCAGAGGATTCAAAGTATCCTTCTGCCTCAGCCTCCCAAAAGCGCTGGGATTACAGCCATGAGCCGCCACACCTGGCCTATTATTATTATTATTTTTAGAGACAGGGTCTCACTCTGCCACCCAGGCTGGAATGCAGTGGCTATCCACAGGGATGATCATAGTTTACTACAGCCTCGAATTCCTGGGCTCAAGCAATCCTCCCAAATAGCTGGGATATAGGCAAAAGCCACTGCATCCGGCAATCGTGGGCCACTCTGACTTTTAGAATCATGGTTACTATACTAATTTAAACTCATTTAAGTATGTTTGGGTACCTAAATCTTGGGAGGGCCTGTTAGTTTCTCATCAGTGTACCCAAACAAACTCATTGGTCTTGTGGAGGAAAGCAATGGATCCTGGCATTCTTTTCTTAGTTTTATTTAACTAAATCATCATGTAGGGTGATGTCTCCAATATAGCTAGATGTTTGGTAGAAAAAATGATAGAAATTATATTTTAGATATTTCATTTTCTCAATAACTTCCCCAAATAATTAAAAAAAATATTCATGACTTAGTGACTTGATTTTCTTGGTAAAATAGCAGTGTTTAGTTACTTATGTATATGTTTACCTCATTGGTCATATATGTGGATTGTTTACTTTGTAGATTAGGTTGTGTAGGGGATACTGTGATATGTTACTCAGATCCC